GTAAAAGGACAAAAAGCTGGTATACCTAAAAAAAAAAAAAAAAAAGAAGAAAGAATAGGACCATAGCACCTACCCCAGCGAGGGATGATAAAGCTAACCATAATATTACTAATGTTACTGACAGATATAAACAGCACCTGTTTTCAGTAAGTGGTATCCTGGTAAAAGCTATATTTACATTGGGAAAATGTACCAGGTTTGAAAACACGTTAAATAGCATGTTTTTACTAGCATGTTAAACATGACCATACCTAAATAGACAGGGACAAGTCATTTAGTTTTATATGTGTAGGTTTTGGTTAACTCCTGAACTGTCCTTGTCCATGCTAGATTGTTTTGAATATCATATTAACTTCAACAGTTAGACATGTTTTTTCTCCCCTGAGTTTAGGCCAGGCCACTGAGATCAGTGCCTGATCTTGCTCTAACGCCAAAACAGAGACAAAGATCTGGACTCCAGGTAACACGAGATTGTCTTGCCACAACTTTCTCAGGAAAGAAAGGATAAAAACAAATTAATGGGTGGGAGTGCCATCAATGTGGATGAGTTATAGTTACAATGTAGTAATTACTTATGAGTAAAGCTATAAAACACATTCTTCTATTAATTGGATCCAGTTATTGAGTATACTTTTATATTGCAGTAAGTGTTTAACAGACTCCAGGTAGGGCTGTCATACTGACTGCTGTACACAGCCAGTGTACAGCAGCCAAACTTGCAATAACCAGCACTCTCTAAACTTGTCGCTTAGAATTAGTGTTTAACATAAGGCTGAGAACAAAATTTATTTAACAGGGTTAACCTCAAGATTATCATTTTCTAAGTAAACATGACACTCTTATTTTGTTTTCTAACAGCTTATCACTGCAAGTGTGTGGACCCATGGCTGACTAAAACAAAAAAAACTTGTCCTGTATGTAAGCAGAAAGTGGTCCCTTCTCAAGGGGATTCAGACTCCGAAACAGACAGTAGTCAAGAAGAAAATGAAGTGTCAGAAAATACCCCTCTGCTTAGGCCTCTTGCATCAGTTAGTACTCAGTCATTTGGGGCTCTGTCAGAATCTCACTCCCATCAAAATGTGACTGAGTCTTCAGAATATGAGGAAGATGATAATGAGGAGATTGATAGTAGTGATGCAGAAAACGGAATAACTGAAGAGAGCATAGTGGTTCAGCTACAACCCAGTGATGAAAGGGAGTACAGAGTGGCAAATACTGTTTGAATAGCTTCAGGACTGCTACCGATCAATTGCATATGAACTAAATTGTTCGTAAAGCTATACTTTACATATATTTACGTAGGGAATATGTTTTATTTTGTAACCCCTTTGGTTACTTTAATCGACAGTAACTGTTCACATAGTGGGTCTCTGGTTTAATCATATTAATTACAGATGGATTTCTCTTCGGTTCTGGTACTCATTCACATACTTGTCTTTTCAAATGAACAGTTTAACAGGACTTCACTGTCCTACTGAATAATGTTTGTAGTTTCCACAAATAGAGATGTTACAAGAAATTTTTACTTTAAAAATGTCAGTATCTTGTTGAAATGGGATTTAGCCACAAAAATAGAATATTTTCCTGGCTACTACTTGTAGGTAAGATTGGATTATAGAGATAGCAATATTTATTATGTGTATGGTGTTACTCTCCAGCCCAACCAAAAAAAGTACATGGTGCCTGTTTCTACAGGGATTTCCCACACTTGCTACTACTGCAATCAAGGGGTAGAAGGAGTCCCTTTAGCAGTTATGTTGCAAAGAAAGCAGAGAAATTGAAGATTTGGGCTCTACCGCAGTGATTCATTTGCCTTTCTAAATAATCCTATTGAGCTTGCAAAAGCAGTTCAAGATCACAAAAAAAACCAACTTTGGAATCTGTTACATTGAAAGTAACTCACAGGGAAAAAATATTCAAAATGCATTAATAGGCTTTATTTGCTGATAGCAGCTAGACTAATTTCCTATGAAAATAATGTAGGAATGGGGGTGACCAAAATGGAACAGCAAGCCAAGTTACATATAGACATACTGAATTATATTAAGTGTTCTGTTGATCCTCAAATCATATACCTCTAACTAAGGAGCATTTTGTGCTGCATTAACCTGCTAAACTTTGTACATAGAGAAATGGTTCTTTTTGAGTTTGATTTGAAAACAAGTGCTTATAAATATTAAAGAGAACTCTCTACTTACAAGTGTATCATGAAAAGCTAAAATTATATATAATGCCATTGTAACTATGTAGAAAATAATCTCACACATGTATAATCAAAATGCAGAGAATTTTTTATATGGCCTTGTATAAGGGGAGTTTGAAAGAATGTTAATAAACATGTTTTCCACTTTAAGTATTAGCAGGAATTTATTAAAGCTTAAGTGACAACAATGAAGGAAATAAATATATGCTACTACTGCAGAGGACTAGACTCGGTGGCCCCTGCCAGTTCTATCTTAAGTATTTATAAGAACATGGAAACACAAACATGGTTTCCTTAGGAACATTAGTTTACCCACATTGTACCAAAGACATCAGGGCATTCAACAAACAATATATTCAGCAAGATTATGTGCACACACAGATCAACTTTTGCATCCCTCTGTCCTTTAAACTTGTGAGCTTAAAAGCAATAACTTAGCTTTTGTGCTTATAAATTTAATTTCTAGGCAAAAAAAAAATGCCTGTATTTGTTAATAACTCTACCTCTCCTTGCTAGGCCTATCAGTGTCTATTAATACATTTTAGAATGGACTTTGAAGATGTTCTCCACAAGCTAGGGCAAATGAACTGCTCATCTTTCCCTATTATATCTTGTGTAATAGAAACTAGCCACATCGCACTGCTTATTTCTTGAACACAACAGGTATCCCAGGTTTCCTCACCATACAAGGCCCTTCTAGGAGCTGAGCTTAGATTCATAGACATTAGAGGCTGGAAGGGACCTCACAAGATTGAGTCCAGCTCCTCTGCCATAGGCAGGAAGTCTGCTAGGGTCAAATGACCCCACAAGATAAGCATCTGAATGCCATTTGAATGAGTCCAGAGTAGATGCTTGCACCACCTCTGGGGGTAGCCTGTTACAGAGCCTGGACACTTGAACCATAAAGAAGTTTTTCTTTGTGTCCAGTCTAAAGTCGGCCTTCCAGAAGTTTGTGGCTGTTAGATCTTGGGGAGCAACTGTTCTCCCAGATCCTGGTGCGCATATAGGCTGCCACAAAGTCCTCCCTGAGCCTTCTTTTTTCCAGGCTCAAGAGTCCCATGTCCCTCAACCTCTTCTCATAAGGCTTACTCTCTTGGCCTTTGATCATGCAGGTGGCTCACCTCTGGACTCCCTCACGCTTATCCACATCCCTCCTGAAGCGGGGAGCCCAAAACTGGACACAGTACTCCAGTCGCAGCTTCACTATGGCTGAGTGGAGTGGGAGGATAACATCCCTGGTTTTGCTTAAGATGCGTCAGCAGATGCATGCCAGGGTTTGCTTTGCTTTGCCAGCTACGGCATTGCATTGGTGACTCACGTTCATCTTGTAGTCAGTCAAGAAACCCAAGTCTCTTTCAGTTGTGGTGCTAGCAAGCGTATCACTGCTGAGCCTGTAATTATGTTGCTGGTTTTTCCTCCCAAGGTGAAGCACCCTGCACTTCTCTGCATTAAATGCCATCACGTTTTGGTCCACCCATCTTACAGGCTGACTTGGACAGGCTTGCATTCCCAGCCTGTTCTCCAGCGTGACTGCCTTCCCCCATAGTTTACTGTCGTCCGCAAACTTTGCCAGTCTGCATTTGATGCCCAAATCCAGATGTTAATGGAAATGTTGAAGAGTACCTGGCCCAAGTACTGAGGCCTGAAGGACACCACTAGTCACCTCCCACCATGCTGGTTTGTTCCCATCAACCAGTACTCTTTGGGTCCAATCCTGGAGCCAGTTCCCCAGCCATTGGACCTTGAGGTGGTTGAGGCTGCAGTTTTCCAGCTTAGCCATGAGGACATCATGGGAGACCCAAGTCAAAGGCCTTCTTGAAATCCAGATATATGACATCAACCTAGTCTCCCTTGTGCAGGCAATGCATCTCCTGGTCATAGAAGGAGACAAGGTTGGCCAGGCAAGACCTTCTAGCAACAAAGCCATGTTGGCATCCATTAGCCTGTTGCTGATGGAACCCTTGATAATTTTCTCCAGGGTCTTTCCAGAGATGGATGTCAGTAATTGGTCTGTAATTCCCTGGGTCTTCCTTCCTTGAAGATTGGGACTACGTTGGCTCTTTTCCAATCCTCCGGTACCTCTCCTTAGCACCATGAGTTCTCAGATATCTTCCCCACAGAACATGTTACCTCTGCAAGCTCCTTCAGGACTCTCAGGTGCATACCATCTGGGCCCATAGACTTGTGGCTGTTGAGTCTCTTGAGATGTTCCTTCACTTGATCTGTGTCAATTATAGACCCATCTCCTGCCCCCTGGATGTTCCGCAGCCTATCTGACAGGGTGACCCCTTTGGGCAGGTGGGAGACTGATACAAAAGTAATCGTTTAGGAGATTAACCTGTTCCTGAGCAAATGTCAGCTGCCCCATTTGATTTAGCAGGGGGTCCAATGTTGCCTTTTTCTTCCAACTTCCCACATATCTGAAGAAGGGTTTTGTTGTTCTTGATTCCTGTGGGTAGCCCGAGTTTGGTGTCTGTCTTGCCTTTTCTGGTTTGGGCTCTAGAGGTACAGGCTAATGCTGTGTAGTTCTTGGTGATGATTCCCATTTTCCATCTGGCATAGGCTTCCTCTTTTTAGCTTCAGGAGGTCCAAAAGTTCCCTATTGAGCCAAGGGGGCACCCTAGCCCCCTAGATGCATTTCCTTCGGGATGGAATGGACTTTCTTTGTGCTTAGAGGATTGTGTTCTTAAGGAACAGCCATTCCTCATGTGCTTCCCTTTTTAAAGGGCCATGGTCTGTGGCCTACTTGTTTCTACTTATGGGCAGCACAAAGGAAGTGTGGTGAAACACTGGGAGACAGAAGTGGGAATTATGGGACTGCTTGTCATGGACTTCCTGGGCCTGAGGCCTGCAGTTAATAAGTCAGTTCCATAGTGCAAGAAAGGGAGGAAGACTTAGTTTCACGCGTCTTAAAATACAGTAGCATAGGTATATTATACAGCTGTCAAGATAACTAAATATTGTCAGAGCAGAAGTACTTATCTTGATATGAGGAGATGAAGGTAGCTGCATAATGGAAGGAACAAAGGGGACCAGAAGACAAGGAAAAAGAGAGAGCAAAGAGAACAACAAATGAACAATGTTAGGAGAGATCAGAGGCAAGTCTAACACAATAAAATCAGGAATTTCAGCTTCAGCTATATGTAAGTAATGTGGTAGTGTTAAAGTGGGATAATATACAAAAGACAGTTCCTTACCACTTTAAACTGTTGCTCCTTGGAGCAGCTAATAGTAGCTTCTCCTCCCGTGTGATCTAGAACAACTTATCCCTGAACAATATACAAGTTATTTCTAGAAACAGTTGTGGCTAAGACTCACACAGTGACTAAAATAAAATTCAAATTAGCATTCTTGGGAGAAGTACAAAAATGATTACAACAATATTCAACTTTAAAGTCCACAAATAAATTGTCTACAAATCCTTAGATCTAGCAAAAGGATAAGGACCATAATTAATGATCATAAGGACATTTCAGAGAAACTTCTTCATATCAGTTTTCATCACAGGTTATGAAAATGCTTCTCCTGACTGTGCGTTTTTCTTCTAGTTAAATGAACAGGTAGCAATTCAATTAGAAAGGTAGTGCATTTAGAAACAAAACAAAGTAGTTATACAATGCACAAGTTAACTTGTGAAACAGTTTATCAAAAGAGCTTGGCATGATCACCTGGGGAGTGGGGGGGGGAGAGAAGAAGAGAAACCACATCTACTTGGATGTCAGAATTACCTTAACAAAGATAAATCCCTAAAAAGCTACAAGAGAATCCCTCATATCTCAAGTTATGAGCCAACCTCTACTTGATGGTAAGAGCTATTCCTGCAAACAAGTTACAGGCATACCTCGGAGATATTGCGGGTTCAGTTCCAGACCACCGCAATAAAGCGAATATCGCAATAAAGCGAGTCACACAAATTTTTTGGTTTCCCAGTGCATATAAAAGTTATGTTTACACTATACTGTAGTCTATTAAGTGTGCAATAGCATTATGTCTAAAAAAACAATGTACATACCTTAATTAAAAAATACTTTATTGCTAAAAAATGCTAACCATCATCTGAGCCTTCAGCGAGTCGTAATCTTTTTGCTGGTGGAGGGTCTTGCCTCGATGTTGATGGCTGCTGACTGATCAGGGCGGTGGTTGCTGAAGGTTGGGGTGGCTGTGGCAATTTCTTAAAATAAAGACAACAATGAAGTTTGCCGCATCGATTGACTCTTCCTTTCACAAAAGATTTCTCTGTAGCATGCAATGCTGTTTGATACCATTTTACCCACAGTAGAACTTTTCAAAATTGGAGTCAATCCTCTCAAACCCTGCCGCTGCTTCATCAACTAAGTTTATGTAATATTCTAAGTCCTTTGTTGTCATTTCAACAATGTTCACAGCATCTTCACCAGTAGATTCCATCTCAAGAAAAATGGCGCCGATGGACTTGCTCGACGCAGGGTTGCCACAAACCTTCAATTTGTAAAAAACGCAGTATCTGCGAAGCGCAATAAAATGAGGTATGCCTGTATTCCTTACCTGTCTATTGCAAGGCCTCTTCATCTTCTAGTGCTGGATACTGCCAGACAAGTTACCATGGGATTCAATGCATATTTATCTTGCATTGGTATTGCAAGTATAATGGAAATAAAACTTGGAATAAAAACAAACAACCGGTTTGGAGTTGTCAAAGGGAACAGAATTAGAAGGATTCATTAAATTAACAAGTGTTAGTTGAGAAGGCAAGGTTTTACAGACAAATTAGGTAAAACAGAGAAGTTGTCCGAGGAAAGGTACTGAGAGTGATATCTAATACTGAAAAGCATGTTCCTCTCTAGCACGTGCTGTTTGTGTCAGGTGAGTGTTGGAAGTGTTATTCCTTGGGTTGGTGATAGGTATTGTATCTAAGTACCATACAGCATTTGGAAATGAAGGGGAGAAGGTAGATCACTTCAGACAGAAAAGTAATATTTCTCCCAGGTGGGGAGACAAGCATAGCTGAAGGCTTGCACTTTCGGCACTTAGTATTGCTTCTCTACAACTGTTTAAAGAATTCACAGTGCATTTACTCATATGGCTAATGCTTTCCAGTACTGTTTGTCATTTAGGAGCATCTGACAACTTCAAAGCTGGATAGGCTACTTTCCCAACCATCACTCTTAAAA